AGCCGAGCCCGCCGCCGCCGCAGTTGAGCCAGCTGCTGGGCAGCGTGGCTTGGATTTGATCGGCCACGAAGCTGGTTAGGGTTACGGCTTCGACTACCCAGATTGTGTCTGGGGGCAAGGCAGCGCGGATTTGGGAGGTTAGCGTTGAGGCGTTGAGGGCGGCAGCAGGGTCGGAGGGGAGTGTGCCTTGGTGTGATATGGTTTGCAGGCGGGCGCTGTGAGATGTTTTGAGGCCGCGCCATCGTTCTTCAAAGACGTCGCTCGATAATGATTCGGACAATTCAGGGTCTGATACCAGATAGTTGTGGAGCTGGTGCAATGAGGTCCTTGAGTCTGCTTGGTATCTGGCCATTGCTGGGATGTAGAAGACGGCCATTTGTTGCTTGAGGGGGTCGATGTCGATGTGAATGATCTTTGCGTCGACTTTTGGTTTGCATTGCGTAGGAATCCAGGGTACGTCGCAGTCTACTACCAGAATGAAGTCGGCAGTCTTAATGCTGTCTTCCACACCATATCGCAGTCCTAGCCACGCAGGATGGTTTGCTGGAAAGCACATGTCGCTACCTCCAGTGTCCAAGACTCGGAGACCGCCGACAGTATCTGCAAGCTTGACGAGTTCTGGCACTGCTGCAGGATTGCGACCGCTGTAGCCTGTAATGAGGAGAGGCTCCTTAGCTTTCACGAGCAATTCGCAGATCTGTTCGACGGCTTCTTGTGGTAGGGCGACAGGCGCGACTCGCTGCCAGACATTCTGATCCAGGTAGTATGGCTCTATGTCTTCTGCCAACGCTTCCCGTGCACCATAGAGATATGCAGGTCCTTGCGGGTCGCTGGTTGCAAATTGAAGGGCTCTATTAACCATCTGCTTGACATTTTTGCCGGACTTGATTTCTCCGGTATAGCGACAGTACTGTGAGACAATCTGCTTTTGGTCTGGCACGTCTTGAATCCTGGAAAGAAAGTTAGAGATATGGGTCAAGTGTGATAAGAATGAGTGGTTTCATACCAGTGGATATATTCTGTCCTCGACCCACGCATTTCTCCCTCAGCGGTGTATGGGGAGAGACCAGCAACGATCAGGACCGGAGCCCTGCCACATGATGCATTGTGCACTGCTGCACCTAGACCTTGCGTACCAACATCAACGTGGACAATAACGCATTGAGGTTGATTTGTCAATCGAGCATAGCCATCTGCCATCGACAGAGCCACCATCTGCGTCGAGTATTTTTATTGGACACCTTGCCAGATTCCGGGTAGAGGACTGGCTGACCTCATTTGGGCACGTAATGATTCTCGGGAACTGTCCCTTATTCTCTTTTTGACCCTTCACTATCGCTTCGATGATGCTGGGATGGTCGCTTCCCAGGTTAACGAAGACATAACGGATACCAGCCTGTGTAGAAGTGAGCTTTCAGATATTGAGCTATCGGAGTATGACTTACGTCCCAAATCGCTTCAAAGAAAGCAAATGACGCCGTGTAGGCCCTGAATTCAGGTTATTGGTTTCACAGACAAAGCTGATTGGCTAGTCTACTCACATTTTCGTTTGGTGTTACCAGGAGTGAAACGAGTGTTTGGAGATTTGTTGTCGTAATCGAGCTTGATTCGGCGGAATGTGAAGCTTCAACGGCTGTAGAAGCTGAGTATGGGAAGGAGTGATTCAGGGAACAGGATATGGAACAACCCGCCAGCTCGTGCTTTCACAACAAACGAAGGCCGCAAGAAACACTCAGTGGGGACGTTGTGGGGCAAAATGATGCCGCGGCAAACCGCCCACACTCCTCCACTATTTACAGCTGATCTTGTCGTCGTTCTCATTCTACCAACAGAGATGTAGTACATTGTGACAGTAGATTTCACACATGTAGGCTATCCTCGATATCGTGGCGCTTTATGGGAAATATCAAGTTCTCATAAGCTTTACGGATGCTCTTCTTTCCTTGTCCCCACTGATTGCCCAATACCAGCTGCGAACTGGTGGTGAGGTCGAACAAGTCCAAGCAGGAACAAGGGCATTATCCGTAGTCAGATCTGTATGCACGGTTCAATGCAGGCTTGAGGTTGGCTAGCTTTCGGCAAGTGTCCGGCTGCATCGGAATCTGCCAATCTTGCATGCAGCTTGCAGCTAGCGACCCGCAGATCTGGGGGATTGCCATAAATAATACTTCCTCGAGACAACAAAGAAGAGTGGTCTAAAGGAACCTGGAAATGATTACAAGCTGAGCATGGCTGGCGTTTTCTCGGGCTTCCCGTGATTGTCTCTTAGCTCTTCTGCTGCTTATTGGTTCCACGTATACATTGCAGCACAACATGGAATAGTGACGAAGAACACAAGAATAGCCCTATATACAATCGCCAAAACTGACCTCACCAAGTGCCTGTTCCGTTCCCAGACCTGAGCACGTGCTGGTTTGACCTGAGCCATGAGTAAACCGGCCTGAGCTGTGGCTATGCAGCCCTGCTTCAAGCTTTCACATACCGGAACAAGTGCCTGGGCTACTATGGTGCCACCGAAAAGTGCGTCCCTCTCGATAGTTAGATGCTTGGCATTACCAGCATCCACCATCAACCGTAAATCATTAAGAACATGTCTTCATAAGATGCATAGGATACACTGTCAAAATCTGAGCCAAATCTATCATGTTAGAGACGTAGTTGTGAAGTGGTAAATGAATGGATCGACTACTCTGGAAGTTGCATCTATAAGAGTGAAGGTGTAAATCATACCCTTGATCCAGTTATTATTGTCCTTTACCCCTTACTCCTGCATAAAGAATCCTCTGTCTGGCGTCTTAGGCAGGGATACTGTAGACATTCTGGTATGTATTTTGCAAACCATCGTAATCGGAACTCTGTACATGGAGTTGTAGGCAGAGCAATCGACTAGTACAATCAAAGGGACATTATATTGATTTAGACGAGTAGTAAAGAGTATAAAACTGCCTCTCCTCAGCGGTATACTTTGTTTATTCAACCAGCCTGATGTATCTAATCCACCCATGAACCAGGCACCTTCAACTCGGGCTCTTCTACTAGACGCCAGAAATCGCCCGCGAACTCATCGCGTGGGTTAGAAATCCACACCTCCCAATCGTCCGGGGAAGGCCCATATTTCAAGTTGATCAGACGCCATGGTTCAAGGTTGCCTAATTTGGGGTCGAATTCTCGGCCACTCCGCTGCACTCCCACGTATATGAAAAACAGCTTTCGGCAACATCCCTGCTTGAACAATGCCAGGTGGCGCTCCCCGTACCGGACGAGGTCCACACCGACGTCCTTGAGCTCGGTGACCCAGAGTCGCACTATCCCGGTAAAGTCATACCCGTGTTTCCTAAATTCTCCGTGGTCGATGGTGTACCACTTGATGAAAAGACATAGGGGTGTCGAGCGATGGAACGGCAACCATCTAGTAGAAATTTTGTCGAGATCTGTTCCCGCTTTGACCGCATCCGCTAGTAAGCCACGCCAGCCGGCGAGATTTTCGGTCCTCTTTGCAGCATGCTCAACTGCCAGGCGCTCCAGGATGAAGAACAGAAGCGTTTCGTTCTTTTGATCGAACAGATGGTATGCAGCAGGGTCGATGGACCCCTCCCCCATTGCCTTTCGGAAGACTGACGACGTCATTCCGGCCACCCACCAGCGATCAAGCTTCATTGTAAATTCGAAGCGTTTCTGGAGAGACCAGCTTCTGTAGTCGGGACACTGCTGCTCCAGGAGTATCTCAAGTGCTCCAGGAGGGCCTGAGAAGCCGGAAGTGTGTGGCAGTCTCTCATCGATGTCCTCTTGAAAAGCCTCAGGGTCACAGTCGCTCAGGAAGATCCGATAAAGATCCAGCACCGTGTTGGTGTCGGCCATGTCAATCCAAGAACTTGCGTAATCATTGGAACATCCCAATGGTGTCCTGCCGTTGTTAGCTAGTAAGAAATTACGGACAGACACGTACAACATACGCTCCCCACGTGGTTTGGACGTTGCTTTCTGCACCATTTTCCAGGAGTAGACGACAGGCGCGAATTTGCCCATGTTGAGCAGCGAACTGTGCAATCATCAGCGCGATTTCTCCTCGCTCATGTCTGACTAACGTGAAGAGCCGTCCAGCCGGTTTCGTCGCAGTCATACACTGATGCTTCCGCTGGTTCTTTGTGCAGAAGGTCATAGAGGCCTAGAATGTTACCGGTGGAGGCATACAGAAAAATAGGAGCGTGGTTCTCAACGACATTATATGTGCGTATGCTCAAGTTCATTCCGGAGTGGGCTCGGTGCCCCTGGATTGCCCACATTTTGTTTGTTAACCATGATGGTGGTCGAACCCAAACTCTTGCCGGCCTTTTCGCTTTTCGCTTTTCAATGCCTAGCCTGGGTGAAGTAGTTGGTCTAGAATAGAATTAATGAAGGGATTCTAACATGGAATTAAATACTTTGCGTGAGTCGTAGTTTACCTTACGTAATTTTCCGACACGCATTTTAAACTAGTCAAATGAGATTCCGCGCCAGCGGACGGATTCTGAAGTTCCTTCAAAATGGTGATGTTACTTGAAATCTCTTGTAAGACCATACTACCAACAATCAGCTCAAACTTGTCTGGCGGCACGTAGTGAATGGGAGTTATGATGAACCGAATTCATTCTCTGTTCTTTGCTTGCCCGTTCTATTTGTGCTTTATGGAAGCTTAAAGGCAATACTTACTTGGACTGGAGTTGCTGTGCAATAATAAGGGTCGTCTTTGCCCTTTCAAGGCCCTTTTGATGCGTTGCCAGGACCTCCTTGTTCAGGCCCAATCTCAACGTCGACCACTTTTTGTTTTTCTTGAGATCGCGATCATATCGGTCCACTATAGCAGAAAGCGATGCCATCTCTGATTGGCAGCGCCTTAGGCTTTGAAAAATATAATTATCAACGCTCGACATAGCAGTGCCATGACTTGTCCACTGCAAAGTCACTTCGCTTAGTACCTGGATCTCGTCGACGAGGCTGGCGATTTCATTCGGCCCATTCTTTACCGAGTTCCAGAATGCCTTGAGTTTGATTGAAGACTCGATGACTTGGGCAACAATCGAGGCAATACTGATGCCACTGGCGACGAGGCCCAGAGCCTCAGCCATGTCCTGACTCCCGAGCGTCCTTATTGATCACGACCTTGACCAACGCGAGATTGAATAAAATTCTCTTGCCTCATTGTTAATAAAAGAAATGAAGGGTCTGAAATCTTCTGCAGGGTGAGGCTGAGATACAGGCCGCCTTTCGACAAAGAAGCGCCTTTTGCCTGCTTGGCATCATTTGTTCACTACGTTAGTTAACCGTGCACTTTCAGTTGCACTAAGCTTTGCAGCTTAGTGCACCGCAGCGCAACGAAAAATCGCAGCGCAACGATAAATTTGTTCAATTATTCGTACGCCCACACAAAACGCGCTCTTATTCAACGAAAAATGGCCGAATCCTATCAAGAAATTGAGGATAGAATTGATGATGCTATTTACGCGTTAAACGAAGCCGAATACCCCAATATCTCGCAAATAGCGCGCCAATTCGACGTTCCTCCTCAACGACTTCGAAGAAGGTTCAAGGGCGTTCAAAATAAGATACAATGCGGGGGGAATAATAAGAAGCTCAATGAGGACCAAGAGCTTGCTCTTTGTCACTATCTTGATCGATTAGACGAATCAGGAGTGAGTGCACGCCCTCAAATGCTTCAAAGCGCTGCGAATTCTATCCTCGAACGTGCCCACAGCAATTCTACCACTGCCCCCCTTATAGTCAGCAAAGATTGGTCTTGACGCTTTCTACAACGCCATCCGAAGTACATTATAAAGAAGAGAAAGCCTCTCTCTATTTAATAAAAGTTTACGCATAATCAAGAGGAGATACAAGCTCATTTTGAGCGATTTCGTGAGACCAAGACGAAATACGGTATTCTTGAAGAGGATATCTATAATATGGATGAAACAGGCTTTCGAATAGGCGTTGGTCGAGCGCACAAAGTTATTGTACGAAAGAAAAACGCTTAATTACCCTCTTTTATCAATGATCCTGATAATCGCGAATCTCTTACTTCTATTCGTGTAGCGAAACTAGATATTCGAATACTAATATTCATAATAAGTGGATTCATTATTTTGATAAATCTACAAAAGCTATTTCAAAGGATGTATATTAATTACTAATTTCAGACAGATTTAATACCCATTTTGAATTCGAATTTATACAATATTGTTAGGATAATACTATTATTCTCTTCTGCCTTCCTCCTTATTCTACGTATCTTCTATAACCACTTAATATAGTATGCTTTCAACCCCTTAAGCACTATTATATAGAGGCCATTAACCGTATTATATGACTTGGCGATTACTTATTTTCAAGAGCAGCCTTTTTGACTAATATCCACGAAATTCGTACGCAAACTTTCAAAAATTCTACAATTTTGAGTGCTTTTCGAGAGACTGGCCTTATACCCTATAACCCAAACGTTGTTATTGCCAAATTATCTCTACCACTGGCCTTTGATTCTGAAAATAACTCTAATAAGTTAGATTCATTAGATATCTTAAAAACGCCCAAAAAGGTAGAAAAAAAAGGAGAAAAAAAACAAAAAAAAAAAAGTGTTATTAAGTTTGATTCAGAGAGCGAATTACTTGTGCACAAATTCATCAAGGGTGCTATGGCGCGCGTACAATCAGGGGCCCAAGCAGAGGCGGATTTGGAGCACACTCAATTGGCCGAAGCAGCACGCGCTGCGCGTGCGAAAGCCACGCGCCGTACCGTACAAAAAGGGGGCATTATTACTGTTGAGAGGGCCAAGGAGCGAATTCGATTACGTACACGAAGGGAGCAAGAGAGTTGGGAGAAGAAGGAGTACTCTCGGCGTCAATGCCCTAAACGGGAAAGACCCAAATTCGTACGCTTCTATAGGGCTATTTCTGCGCATGCCCGTCTTCGTATCAGTGCTATGGACTATGAGGACCAATTGGAGTATCAAATTAGCGATGAGGGGGGGCAATAGCTATAGAAATAGAAAAAATTTATCGTTGCGCTGCGATTTTTCGTTGCGCTGCGGTGCACTAAGCTGCAAAGCTTAGTGCAACTGAAAGTGCACGGTTAGTCAGTAGCGCGCGCCTACGGCCTGTAGAGAGACGGCCAATCGCGCCCTCGTCGAAAACATCGAGCTTCGAGACTCACCTCCTATTCGAAGATGAGTCATGAGAACAACATCGGATGAAGATATAGATGGACTAGGGTACTTCCACCTTGACGTAATACTGTTGTAAAGTGCTTGCTGACTAACTCGCTATGGCGCTCTATTTCTAGCTGTTCAGTGGCCAACTATTTCTCCTCCTTCTCCTCCCCTGCACATTATCCTGCTCAAACAGTGCTAAGTTAAATCAGATAAACTTATGGGTAGGTGCATGAAAGGTAGAAAGGTGCACTTTCTCCAATCAACATGAAGACTTCTACCGGCCGCATTCTAAGATTATTCATCACGGCTTGGTGCTATCTTACTTTATGTCAAACGTGATTCTACGCGCAATCCATGCATTACGTCTGCATTTGATTGGTAAGTATCGATAACTGCTTGACATCTTGCGAATATTCAGAATATTCATCCAAGGGTGACACTGATAATTGGATCGAGAGCGTTCGTAGTGGCGAATACTAGATTTAAAAAGAACAGAAAGGAGGATTATAAAATCTGAGATACCGCTCGTCATATAAGTTCAGGGAGCGCACCTCCTCAGGAGTTAAAAGAAACTATCATTCTGTCTAATAGATCTGTTTCTGAGCCTCTTGAAGGTCCTGATTTTCAAAGTCAGGCGCTGTGGGGCCGTAGCCCATCTTCAGAATTGGTGGCCGTCTTGGCATTTCCCCCTCCTCCCCATGATACTTGGGTTTACTAGTACTACTACTACGTAGACAGTAACAAAATTCAAATGACAGCTAGACGTGTACTTGACGTCATTCGAAAACTCCTTCCTCGTCTTCCAATGGGTTCCACTCACTGACCTTCAGCAGTGTATTAGTTATCAGAACACTTCAAAGGAAAATCCAACAGCCGCCACTATGGGTGGCCAAGCTCTTGAGGATGATGCTGTCAATATTTCATGGCAGAGAGGCGTCTTCGATGCACATTGTCACCCTACAGATACGATGACTTCGATCGACGATCTTCCCGGTATGAAGGCCAAGGTATTGACAATCATGGCCACAAGGCGCGAAGATCAGACCTTAGTCGACCAAGTAGCAGCACGATTTCCACTAAGCGACACAGATGAGTACAAGCGTTCCGCATCGAAATTTGTTGTCCCGGCATTTGGATGGCATCCCTGGTTCTCCTACCAAATGTTTGATGACCGGTCGACATATGAAATCCCAGATGCGATGACACACTACAAGACTGTTCTCACCCCAAAGGTCGAGGATGTAGCATTTTTGAAAACGCTGCCAGAACCGTTGTCTTTGGCGCAATTTCTAACAGATACAGAAGCCAGGCTAAGAAAACATCCGTTTGCCTTGATGGGAGAAGTAGGTCTTGATAAATCCTTCAGGCTGCCGAAAGAATGGCTGCCCGACGAGACTCAATCCCGCGACCCTTCCCTGACGCCGGGATCTCGGGAAGGGCGGAGACTGTCACCTTACAGAGTTCAGCTCGCTCATCAGAAGGTCATACTGGAAGCACAACTACGGCTTGCAGGCAAATTAGGACGACCAGCTTCCATACACAGCGTTCAAGCCCACGGAGCCGTCCACGAAGTTCTTCAAAGCCTTTGGGCAGGACACGAGAAGATTTCGAGCCGTCAGAAGAAACGAAGATCAAGCGCAGCCGGTGCGCATGCGGCAGACGATGAAGAGAAAATCAACCAAGGACCTTCAAGCCCACTACCATTCCCACCCCGCATCTGCATGCATTCATATTCTGGCCCTGCAGACTTCTTGCGAGAATTTCTAAATCACAAAGTACCAATCGATGTGTATTTCTCCTTTTCAGATGTCATCAACTTCTCCGGTCCTTCCTCCGAGAAAGTCATCGATGTGGTCAAAGCAATTCCTGACTCGAAGATCCTCATTGAAAGTGACTTACATCGCGCCGGTGCTGAGATGGACGGCCGCCTTGGCTCTGTGTTCCAGCGAGTTTGTGATATCAAAAAGTGGTCCTATGAAAGAGGTGCCGAGATTTTGGGTCGGAATTGGCGATGTTTCGTATTCGGATCTTGATGCGCTGCGAGAACTGTGATGCAGCGATACAATAGGATGGCAACCACTACCGTCACTATCCGGCTGCTATGGCGATGTCTGAGGAACTGTCCACAACGCGTTTCAAAGCCCTCAGAGCTTAAGCTTTTATTTCATGCTTCGCTAGTGAAGATTGAAGAGTCGCCCCGCCGGTTTGAGCCAGAGAGGTTGGAAGACAAACGACTACAGGCGGTTTTTTGGTGGCAATGAAAATCCTCGTCACAACCGATCCAAGTCACTATAAAGGTTCTGAACCGCCAGCAACCGGCATTTGTGCCTTTGTGATAATGACTATGGTTCATGTCTATAAAATCCTTTCGCAGGGTCAGCTGCATCATGGACGTCGACCATGAACTCGTATCTACTTTACACTACTCTCTGCCATACTCCATCGCCCTCAGCACCACCAAACTTTACCAGATTATTCGACTATGTCCTGCGGCAATCAAGGGACGACTGGTCAAGACAGACAGGCCTGTCCTCCTTTGGCTTACTCCCATCATCAGATTGCTCAAAATTATCCATTGATCTTTCCGCTGGAGGACCTTGCAGGGACGCCGAATCACGATGCGCGTTCTGATCACTCGGTCCTGGACGAGGGGCCGGGCGTGGATGACCAGATGCTCAAAGATGGACAAACTCCTCCGGCTGCTACACGACCATCGCAGAACCGCGCTGCTTTGGGGAAGTGGAAGTCAAAGACAATAGCTGGGTTTCCTGCTGCGAATGTGCCACTACCCCGGGGAATCACAGCAAAAGAGATTGCACAGTCGTACCCAAACCACGTTGATGATTATTGCATACTGGAACTGATGCGTCAGGGTAAGGGAGCCAAGGCGATAGATGCTCTAATTCCTGCACCACCAGGGAAGACGAAGGCTGGCCAGTCTCACAGCAAGATTCAATTGAGAATCAGTACAATCAGAGAAGCTTTCCCCAACGAGAACTTTCCTATAACATCGACGAAACGAGACAGAACCAGAAGTCGAAGTGAGATACCGAAAGATGAGACAATAGACTCCAATAACGAGCATACAATTTTTGTAACAGCTAATCACAAGTCAAACTCGGACCACACGACAGCCGGAGCTTTGGCTTCGGTAAGCTTCCATACAGCGGAGACACAGCACCAGAATAGAGCGGCTGTGCAAAGGCATGGTGGACACGGTAGTTCTACCCAGTCAGGAGCCTTCGGAAGTCTACATCAGCAGGTAGAATTACCACTGCTCTCTGAGTCGAACGATCATGCTGCTTCTTTCACACCAGAGCTTCTCGATCCCGCTTTGAGGTTCCCGCGGACTCTGCCACTTGACTCTCAGGTCAAGGAGGAATATCAAATTCATCAACAGTTGGTCCACGACCATTTCTATTGCGATCGGCCTCTTTCTCCACTCGAAGTGAGGCAGACCGTTCAAGCTCACTGCGCTTGGATATATGACCGTATCAGTTACAATTTGCAGACAAAGTCGGGGCTCAAGATGGAGAAAGTCATATTACGAAGCGGTTGGTCGGAGCATTCCATATCATACTTACATCGCACTATCACAGAGTGCTTTAGGGGGCATCCAGTGTTTCGCGCACATATGGACCGCGAATCCCTTCCAAACCAGGTCACAAATCGCTTCGAAACGGCAGTTCTTCAAGACCTCCTAGGCCGCTTGCGAGATTGGACAAGGTATCTGAAAGCACAGAAAGAAACTAAGAGGCAGACAAGAGCGCATCAGAAGCTGCATTCTAAAGCAAGTACGAACAGAAACACTGCCCCAAACCAGATGCGCTTGCAATACATGTCACCTCGAATCTATGCATCCTCTGGCTTGAGGCCTGATCAACTGAAAGCGTTTGGACCCGAGGACCAAATGATGACGGATGCACCAAGATTGAATCCAGGAGCCGCCAGAAAGGAATTCGAAGACTATATGGAAGACGCGGAGCGTTTTATCAACCATGAGGCTAGGGCAGCAGACCTTACCCCAGTATCTGGTAAGTTGAAACTCGAGCGTTTTTTTGAACGTTGCTATTGCACACCACTTTCATTCTTCACAAATCATTCAATATGAACTGTAAATTGGCATCAATGCAAGAGGTTTCAGATCGATATAAACCATCAGCTGTACGCGTTGATTTTGGCTAGCAATCTTGCCACGCCATACTCCCAATACTCCACAAAAACCGTTTTGAATGCCTCGGTACTTGGATCAAGGCTAACAGATCCTCGGCACAGACAACCTGGACGAGGGAGCTGCAATTGACATAGCAAAGGAGGAGATAGCTGCGAACATCATGGCCAAAATGGACAATGACGCTTTTATACTTTTCGGCTGGCAACTCCTTACAAGCCATAAATTTGGGGCAGAAGCAGAAGCAAAGTTGGAGGAGCAGCGAGATAGGCTATATGAAATTGGCGAGGATGAAGTGCAAAGAGCTATGTCGAGAGGGTTGCAGGGGGATGCCAACGAGGATGTGTTGGAGCTGGGCGACTATTGATTGCGGCGAGTTCATCGGGCCATCAGATCGCACCCTTGGTTATACCACTTTCCCACAGATTTCAATGACAGTCAGCGAAGGAAGGAGGGGTTTGAATCGTGACTGTTCGCTGCTCTCTGGCAGGACATTCACCTTACCCAAACATTCACATGAATCTTGTCACTCACAAACAATTTGACCAGGAAGTCAATCATTTGCAGCATAAGTCTTGTGTATCTGAGCGGCATTCATATATCTCACTCATTCATTCGTGCTGCTAGTCTTACTGCCTCACACAAAATCTAGATCTTCTAGGTCGCTGAGAAGGAACGACCACCTCCCCGTCTCATCTGCATCTTTTTCTCAACGATTGATTTCTTGTGTCCAGAGCCCAAACCTTCGATCAAAAGGGTCATAGGAGGATCGAGAAGCTTCCGATGGACCACCGTATCATCGATTCCCAGCATAACTGGCCCAACCCGGTCAACGACTCTGATAGTGGTCAACCCTCGACTTGGCAGGACTGGGACTTTGATGGGCAGAACAACTCCTACGACAATTATGCTCAATCGGTTGCGCAGAATGTTTTTGATGAGTTTCTCAATGGGGGCACTTCAGCATCGCCTGATACACAGGTCATCAAGAAGAAGCAGGGAAGTGTTGGATCGGAGCATGGCTGCCAGATGGGTTTCCATGTCGCCTCAGCACCTTCATTAGCCGAGAAGCACGGCAACAACTTACAAGACAATATGCAGCCCACCTCGTGCCCTGCCGCTGACTACGGGGGAAGTGATTGTGGTCAAGCTGCAGTCAGTGTCGACAACAAATGCGACGAGACATGTAGGGCCTCCCCAGAAAGTCACTCTAGCAAGGAACTTCATCCAGAACCATTGCAGGTCCCACGACTCGACCAGAACATGATGTCCCTGGCTATTGGTCAAGGTGGTAACGAGCATGCGAAGCACGAAATTGATGTTAAGCTCGAGAAAAGCTCCTCTATGATGGGCAGTTTGCTCAATACACCCGCATTTCAATATGATCAAGGCCGTCCTTTGAGCATACACTTTCAGTCTCCGTTCCAGTCGCAAAATAATACATCTCGAGTACAACAGCAACAAATATTACCGAATGGACCGATACCAGCAAAACGACGGCAAAAGGGTCAAACCGAAATGCTTCGCTCCCAGGGAATACAAGGGCTGCAAGGTTCAAGGTCCAATATTGTCTCTTTTCCGAATCTGTCTTCACAATTGCCTGCCTATCAGAACGACCTCATCTCAACCTCGTCATCCTCCTCAAATGAGACTATCAATTTCAACGGTGGTCAACAACAAACCCAGAATTATTTACCACAGCTCCATATTCCTAGTATCACCGCATTCTACAACCCCCCAATGCCCTTCCCGCCGAACCACAATCAGCAACAAAATCTAAGCAGCAGCTCCATGACCGTAGGGCAGATAGCCATCATCCGTCAAGAACAAATTTCAAGGCTCCGAGGAGATATCTTCAACGAGGTCAAGCTTCACCTCCAGATAATGACTGCCTACTTCACGCACGCGCTCAAACATCTTTCCAGGGACTTCTCACCCGCAGCGGCTCAAGCTAAGCAGCATTGGCTCGAATCAGCAAAGGTTTGGCTCAGCACGGTCCCGGAGGCGTGGAAGAACAATCTGCCAGTTACGCAGTCCCGTTCACACCCTGTCGAGAAGATGATAATTCAAAAAATCCACATCCAGGGCCTGGTAGAGGCGGCACGTCGCCACAAAATTCCGAATAAGACATGGCCACACACCCCTGAAGAGTGGAAACAAGATATCAGCATCACTGCTCACTGGGAGGAATTGAAACTGATGAAGACGTGGACGGCAATGTTCAACGGTATGCTGCAGGATCTGCGATCGAAATTTCCGCTACTGGAAGATGCGTTGGAGGAGATCCGTGCCGGTGGTGGTTGGGATCAGCTGCTGGGTGGTGATGATGTAAAGACGGAGACGGATGAGGATTCGTGATCAGTAGGGGGGCAGCGATGTCTGTGCCTGTTTGCATTGATGGAGGGGCTCACGGACGGCTAGGTCTGTTTTCTTGCCAGAGAGAGGGTGGTAGATTCGATACTCAGACAGATTTAGCCTTGGACATCAGACCAAGAGCGTAGCTGCTATTCGGCTTGTGTGAGGAATTTACTCTCCAGGAAGAATCAGCAATCCTTCTCACCACACGGCCATTTGCCCTTGGTGTTGTGGTTATACACTGAGCATTCTATGCCTCCCTTGAATTGCTTCACCGGTTGGAATATTTTATTTACGTGTCCGCAAAATCTCTCAAGGGAATTGGTTGAGAAAGCCAGAATTGCTCCCAAGTCGATCCATCAGAGCGGCCGGACCTAGCCTCTGGAGATAAGCCTACGGTGCTCTACCATCGTCACTAGAGTACCATGCACGATGCAATCCAACTGTACGATGGACTAGGGCCACGTTAGACGGTGGTATCATGAATTCATGAATCAATTCCCTCGAGTCATTCTCGGTAAAAAAAACGGAAACAGGATGGTCTTGGCACAGCCTTCCGCCAAGAACTGAACTGAACAAAAGAGACTCAGATACGGCGGACTGTTCTCTGTAGAAGTGATTTGAAATAGCAAGTTTTTCTATCTAAATTATGGTCTCTGCTATCGAGTACTTTCTGATCTCACTCTGGTAGGGACATAGGATGCTGTGTTCACTGTTCAGCAGTCATGGATCGCCAGGACTTTACCGTGGGATGGATCTGTGCTGTCAAGACCGAGTTTGTTGCCGCATGCGAACTCTTGGACGAAGAGTACCCTCCTCTGAAGACCATTCCCTCGCACGACACCAACTCCTACACCCTTGGTCGGATGGGCGATCACCATGTCGTTGTTGCATGCCTTCCCAAGGGCAGGTACGGGATCGCCTCCGCAGCCACGGTGGCGAAAGATATGTTCCGTTCCTTTGAATCGATCCGCATTGGACTCATGGTTGGAATCGGAGGGGGAGCGCCGAGCAAGAAGCACGACATCAGACTTGGGGACGTGGTGGTCGCATGTCCTGTCGGTAGGACCGGCGGTGTTCTTCCTTACAGCTTTGGCAAAGCCGTGCAAGGCAAAGACTTCGAAATCACTGGCAGCTTGAACTCGCCACCAACCTTTCTGTTAACAGCACTGAACCAGCTTGACACCCTCCATGAGAGAAAAGGTCACCGCATTGCCTACACAATCCAGGAGATGCTGACCCGGAACCCGAGTCTGCGGGAGAAATATGAATATCCGGGGGCCGAAAAAGACCGATGGTACGAGTCAAGCTTTGTCCATGTCGACAGCGACGTTGGATGTGACATCGGCTGCGGCTGTACTTTCCCACCTGTGATTCAGCGACAGCAGCGATCCTCTGGCGCAACGAACCCTGTTGTGCATTATGGCATCATTGCATCCGCCGACCAGTTGATGAAAGATGCCGTTGTCCGTGACAGAATCAGTCAGCAGCACCGCGTCTTGTGTTTTGAGATGGAGGCGACAGGACTATCTAATGACTTCCCCTGCGTCGTCATTCGTGGTATCTGCGATTACTCGGACTCGCATAAGAACGATCAGTGGCAAGGATATGCTGCAGCAACGGCGGCATCATATGCGAAAGAGCTTCTTCAAGCTCTACCAACAAACATGGTGTCAGGGAGTCAACATGCCACAAATGTGTTTTCGAACCCAGGTGAGTGTACCGGGCAGAGTCTCATACCTATTAAAGGACAAGGGACAGAGCTTCACTATGAGTGAAGAACGAATGGGGGGGCTTATTAAATTGAGAATACTGAACAAGCACTGATGATGTATCTTCTAGGAAGCAACAATTTTCACGTCCAATTCCAGCTCACCGGTCTTCCGGTTGCTGGCCATTTTGTCGATCGAGACGCCGAGATCGAGGAGATAAAAGTAAATCTACTGCCAACGGAAGCACAGAATAGACGAAAGATCCATGTCCTCCATGGCCTGGGGGGAGCTGGAAAGACGCAGCTGGCGATCGCATATGCCCGGAAGCATCAGCATACGTACAGTGCGATAGTATGGGTGAATGGCAATAGCACAGATACGGTCTTGCAGAGCCTGGCTGGATTCGCTAGGCGTGCGGGCATCAGCCGTGCGACGAGTCTGAAAGGCAGCGCGGCCCAACAGGCTCCAGAAATGATGGCAGAGGCGGACGCTGTTCTGAGATGGCTCGCTCTAGAAGGAAATCCTTGCTGGCTGATGATTTTTGACAATGTCGACCGAGACATAGAATCCGACGACGAAGATGCGCAGGCCTATGATATCACGTCGTTCCTACCAGTGGCTGATCATGGTTCCGTCCTCATCACAACCCGTCTTTCTTCTTTAGGAGAGATAGGAAAGTCCACCGAGGTGGCAAGGCTCAACCATAACCAAGCACTGGAGCTCCTCAGTAGCCGCTCGGGCATGCATTCATCAAGCAATGGTACGATAGCCCTCCGTCAAAATCAGAAAGTATGAGCCAACTGATTGATCTGCAGATATGACCAAGCTTGTCAAAAGATTAGGCTACCTCGCGCTGGCTGTTGTTCAAGCCGGCACATATATGCGCGAAACCAAGACAGGGTGCTCGAAGTACTTGGACCTCTATGAGACGTCGTGGTCTCAACTTGCGGCGGAGACACCTCGTCTGCGTGATTACGCGAACAAGAGCATTCAGACGACGTGGATGATCTCGTACGACCGCGTCCGACAGAGCGACCCGACAGCGGCGAACTTTTTGCAGCTGTGGGCATATTTGGATCATCAAGATGTCTGGTATGAGCTGTTCTTTCGTGGACGTGAGGGCTGGCCAGAGTGTGGCTGGTTTCAGGAAATGGCAAGCAGCGAGATTATCTTCAAGAGAGTTATGAAGAGTTTACTGGCTCTTTCCCTGATTGAATCTCACCAGCAGACCGAAAGCTATTCTATTCACCCAGTCGTACATGACTGGTGCGCCGAGACGATTTGCTACGGCAGGGATGACTTGATGTCAGCGGCTTTAACTATTGTTGCGTACGCAGTGCCGAGTGAGTTAGAAGTGAAGTACTGGCTTTTGCAGCAGCGACTACTCCCGCATGCGGATCAATGTGTCCGACAACTTGATAATTCGGATGAGCTTAACCGACTTGGACCTGTTAAATCTAGCGAGGCATTACACCTGCTGGGCTACCTCTATGAAGCTCAAAGCAAGTATGTGGAGGCAGAGAAATTGTATCAGCAGGTACAAGATACAACAGAGAAAGTATTTGGTCCTGAACATACCTCTACACTCGCTACTGTCAATAATTTAAGCATCCTCTACGAGACTCGGGGTAAGTATGCAGAGGCAGAGAAATTGTATCAGCGGGCACTAGATACAGCAGAGAAAGTATTTGGTCCTGAACATACCTCTACACTCGCTACTGTCAATAATTTAGGCGTCCTCTACAGGTCTCAGGGTAAGTATGCAGAGGCAGAGAAATGGTTTCAGCGGGCGCTAGATGGAAAAGAGAAAGCATATGGCCCTGAACACACTATCACACTTGATACTGTTAATAATTTGGGCCTCCTTTATACTGATCAAGGTAAGTATGCAGAGGCAGAGAAATTATATCAGCGGGCGTTAGATGGATATAAGAAAGCATGGGGCTCTGAACTTATCTCTTTCCCGTTACTTAAGACCATTAATAACTTGGGCAACCTCTACGCTAATCAAGGTAAGCATGCAGAGGCGGAGAAATTCTATCAACAGGCGTTAAATGGAAAAGAGAAAATGTTAGGTCCTAAACACACCTCCACACTTGGTACTATCTATAATTTGGGTCTCCTCTATACTGCTCAAGGCAAATATGCAGAGGCAGAAAAATCATACCAGCGAGCGTTAGATGGATGCCAAAAAATATTGGGCTCTGATCATGGTTATACAATTAATGTTGTTCGTGGCTTACGCTTGCTTAGAATCCGTCAAAGTGAGCAGACGGAAGTGGAAGAGCTGGATCCACAGATCAATTGATCAGAGCTAAGGCTGTCTTTGATAGACTCAAAACAGGCATGCGGAGGCGAAAAGGGGGTGCCAGAGAAGTGTGAATAGATGTCAGAAAGTACATAGTCTCAGCATTCTGGAATATTGTGTGGGAATTGATCTTCTTGTTTTGTAATCTGGAGTACTAGTATCTCTGGATTCGAGTGACTGCCCTCTGCTCTCCTTAGTATCTGGTCCACTGATACCTTAAACTAGTACAGTTTGTGGAGAGGGGGACAGTGACTTCATACTCTGATCTCGACTCTGACTTAGCCTTTATACTCCTAACCGCCCCATAGTGATTGGTTACCGTGTATGCTGTCCCACACCTATTTCAATGATATATCATAAGTACACAGCTGTCAGGTGCACCCAACATGGTAGGGTAAAGAATCTCTAACCAGATCTTTGACATGCTCCCATCGAGGAGCGACTAGACAAAGCCCAAAGTAAGGTAAATATTCAAGCGAACCGAGAGATAAGGTCTATGCCTTACTTAGACTCGCGAGGCAGGATGAAGACTTCCTCATAGTCCCAGACTACACGAAATCTGTCACTGAGGTTTATGAAGATGCTTTCTATGCTCTCGTACACTTGGAGCAGACATTGAATGTTCTCTTCGACAAGACCAGCGTCCCGAATTCGGGGTTCGCGCCCGTCCTGCCTACCAAACCTCGCTCAAATGAAACTTCCTCGCGAGACCATGACCTTGGATTCTTTCCAAGCATCAAGGGGATTCCAAACCACAAGCAAAGCTGGAGAATCACGCCACCAGCGGAACAGCGGTCCGTCCATGCCTCTACCTCACAGCAAGATCCTTGCATCTGCGAGGAATGAAGTTTGATATGCTGAGAAAGACCGTGGTTATAAGCCAATGCACGAAGCAAGGTAGATTCTCAGACATTCAAGTTGATTGGCAGGCAATACTGAGCATATTGTTTTCAGCGATTTTGTGTGATGCTCTTCCGAGCACAGACTTAAGCCATTAGAGACCATAGAACAGTCGACCCTGTTGAATGTTAAGTATTCTTCATCAAAGACCGAACCACTTCCCTGTCTTTAAAAAAAAGAGCACCAGCGACCCCTTCTAAGTCGACCTCTAAAAAGTCTCACCGGTCACGACCCTTCCCCCCCGTCTCTCCCTCCGCCTCCTCGACAAAACAAATCCGGTTCCCAAACGGCACCACCCCGGGCTCCAGCCCGGGTCGCATATACGGATACGCTTTCGCGGCCAGCTCGGCGTGGAACTCGGCCAAGCCCGCAGTCGTGACGCGTAAGCGCATGCCGGGGCAACTGTCGCCGTGGTGCTCACTCAGGTGCAGCACGAGCCCGGCGCGCGAAACCTGGCGGTAGAGCGGGGCGGCGTCGTCGTCGAAGCGATGGTCCCAATCGACGGCGAAGCCGAGGTAGTCGACGTAGAACTCGTTGGCTTTGGCCACGGAGAAGATCCGCAGGATTGGGATTGGCGGTTGGAATGTGATGGGCATCTTCTCGGCTGGGTGAGGAGGTGGACGATGATAATAGTAGAGGCAAGCGGCTAGGGCGCCGTTAAGGGTTCAGAAAAATTCGTGTGTCTGTTAAATATCGCGTTTTGCGAGGGGATTTCGCAGGTCTCTTAGTTGTCAGCCGTGGTCTTTTATCTAGCTTACAGAAATATTGAGTAATATTATTAGAGCTAGACGATTATCTACAGTCATCATGCAGAAGTATCTATGCGCGGTTAGTTTTAGAGCTAAAAGTGCACTTTTTAATCCCTGTAATCACAATGGTTTAGACGTCAACTTTATTATTTTTATCGGTGAGGTCAGCCTTGGCGAATGGCGATTGTATATACGGCTATTTCCTAAATCGACAAAACAGAGATCAAAAGCGCTGCAGTCCAACTCTGGAACACCCTCGCGAGCATTCCGCAAATGATTACTCTTCTCGTCTGGGGCTTATTCACCAATGCGGCTCAGTCTACTAACTAGCGTCTTGTAAGCGTGGTTTCCTGTATCTGTATCCACGCTTCAGCCACAGACAAAACATCGGATTCCTGTTTCGGACAAGCTACAATTCGCAGGGCCCCGCTCACCAATCGAGCCTGCACACCACCGCTGTCACGAGTGTGCTTCCCCAGGAAGAAAAGCTGCAAGGTTCTGCTCGTGAGCTGCTTGGCTGACTGACTGACTGACTGACTGACTGACTGACTGCCTCTCATAGTGTTGAGGATCAGAGATAGGAATCTCAGAATTGGTCAGAGGCTCCTCGACTACAGAACTGGAATTTCCAAACATGGCATGAAGGCTTTCCCGTCTCATGATTAGCTTACGCCTAATCCGGGGGATCTGAGGGTCGAAATGTCTGTCCGCCAGTTGTAAGTGGTTGGAGTATAGCCATGCTATCGTTGATGGGCTGGAGATGGGGCGAAGTCGCATGTAAAACAAGGCCAGATATAGTGAAGAAGAATGAGGTGTCTGCCTTCTATGTATTATGACGAATAATTGTCTGATTAAAAATCTCTTCGACGATACCTCACCCTCCGTGTAATGACCGTCGCATCTCTCCCAAGAGGCGTGCATATGCCCTTAAGAACCCGTAAATTGCTGTTCCGAGACCCCTGGAGTCTTTTCGTGTAGAAAGGAGGCACATAAAACCGGTATGCCTGTGACGGACCAGTCTTCTGGAGCCTGGATCAAGTTGAGAATGACCACTGGCAATGGCTTGTGGTGGCCACAACTCCAAACTCGCATCAGGCCGCACATGCGGACCGTCCCGTCTCGACTGTGTGCACTGTCCAACAAAGGTCGACGTCAACACGTGGGTTGGAACAATGGAATTGCCGGCCACACAAGGGTTGTATCAACGACAACAAAGAAGCAGGTCATGGTCATTCTCGTTCTCCATAATCTCCCGTGCCTTGAAAACAATGAAATGTGTGGTGAACAATGATATTGTTAGGAGAGTAGCCTGGACGCGCCTTTATAAAAGGCCCCGTTTCCTCGACAATGGCATTGTTCCCCCTTTCCCTTTCAGAGTCGTTGGACACCCTCTGATTCAATCCAGGAAGCATAACAACAGGGTTGTAGCCTCTCTTTTCACGCAGCCCATCCGATCCCTTTCATACCCTCGACACCGACTTACCTCGCGTTCGACCCCCTTCAGCTGCGATGGCAGATGATTGGGAGCAGCCAGACGGCAGCAACAAACGTGTGTATGAGCAGTTCCTCGAAGGCGATGAAATGCGAGACCTTTTCAATATGCCCCAGCCGACGGAGAAGCCGCATCACGAAGTCCCTGCTGAAGTGGGAGAGTCCGACAGCCTTGACATGAAATTTTACGAATACTTTGCCCTTCTTGACGATCCTGCAGTGCGAGAGATCTTCGAATCATTGTCGCCGTCAGAGATTTCTCATCAGATCAACGATTGCCCGCCTGCACAAGGAATACCGCAGGCAGAACGCGACGCAAATCTTGGTAAGAGTGTTCCGTACACCCAAACCTGGTTTGACCCATCTCCAAATCCTCAGGAACAACTTTACTTGCAAAATCCCCAAGGAACACTGCTTGACGATTTCTTTCAATCCACTCCAGCTCCGCAGGGCGCAATCAACTTCGACAGCTGTTTTGCTGGTAGAGGCAAGCTTATACCTTCCGCGGAAGTTATGGCTGATCTTCAGCCCGATGTGATGGAGGTTGATGATCCCTTTAGCCTGCCAGAATTGCATGGGTCGCCTTCGCTAGACTATGAACACGACATCATGGCCGCCGCCCAACAGCTGATAGCGACCAAAGAACAGCCTGCACAAGCCTCCCAACCGCCAAAGAAAGAGGGACGACGTAGACGAAGGATAGGAAAGATTAAACAGATCCCTGGCTTCCCCTCCTCCTCAGAACCTCTTCCTTCCAATCTCAGCCTCGAGGAAATGTGCCGTTCCTGGCCAAACCATCTCCATGGAGTTTCCCTCGAACCGTTCGTTGAGGCAGGGTGGAACGGTAGGATGGTCTGGGATCATATGCCGGAAGCAGCAAAAGATGGTTCCAAGCGACAAGCTTGGAACAAGATGGTTAAGCGACTGACACGTACGAAACAACAGATGGAGCTCGAAGGTAGAGGACCGGTGGGAGCCGGTCTGACTCCTGAGGCTATGTGGAAGAATCTTGTGGGCGAAACTTCTGGAGATGCTGCCCAGCAGTATGTGGCCGTCAATGCCCACAACGGCTCATTGACCACGTTACACAATCCACAACATGCCGAAGCTTTGCAAGACATCACATCCTACCAAAACAACCAACCTAAGCCGGAAAACCCCTTCGAAGCGATGCGTTGTGCGTTTCGAGCAGAGCTTGATGAGCAACATGCGACGATTGCACTGCTCCTGGCACAGCAGCGGGCAGATTGGCTTCTGATCTCCTTTGACGAAGTCACATCTCGTATCACGCAGACGTGGATGGAACATGCCCATGAGCACGAAGCTCGGTTCATCCGTGAGAACTGGATTGATGATGAGGACATCCCCTTCGATCCAGTGAGCCGAGTCGATATGCTGAAGCGCCTTGGTGAGCTTATATGTAGGCTTCTTCTAGCATCGAACCCTCCACGACCTGCTACCAATGAACAGGAGGAAGAAGCGTTCCGACAAAGCCACTACCTTCGTGTTCTAGGAGAGGAGCTTTCTATCCTGAAAGGTTGGACAAGTGCTTGGAAATGGCAGGTGGAGCAATTTAACGCTGATAGTTACTTTGGGATAGTTGACGGAGCGGCAGAGCAGTCGGGCGGAGGGAGCCAAGAACAGAACGAGCAACTGCTAGAAGAGACGCCGTCATTCCAGTCGGCTTTTTCGGCATTTGACCCCAACACCTCAGCAACAGAAGCCGGAGTTCTGAGCCACGGCGAGCAGACGTCGATTCCCCAAACGTTTCTTGATCAGTCATGGGCACAAGACACATGGCTCAGCTCTGACGCGCCAACACCAACCTTTCAGACGTTTCTCGACCAGCTCCAGACCCAAGTAACGGCAGACCCATCTCTAAACCGTGTCAATGACCCACCGAGCACCAAAAAAGCCAAAGGCGGTCGAAGGAAGCTTCGAATGTTCCCGCATGCGCCTTCGAAAGATGTCATCCTCTCCCAGCAAGATCTCGCCGATCTAGACCACATTATGGCGAATTTCCCCGAACATCTTGCCCTGCCACATGTCATGGTGCGTTATTTGTGCCCCCCGGGTACCCGACAAGGGTGCCACGATGGTGCTTATTTCACGAACGACATGGTCGAAAAGCTTTTTCATCACCACAATGCCAAGCATGGCTCTGATCTGGATCACCCAGATAGGTTCAAAGGTATACATGACTGGGTCATGACGCAGAAAGACGCGGCACGCAAATATCGGCGAGGTGGCTTACCACGTAGACCGAAGCTGGCCAATTCATCGGCCGGTGGCCGTCAGGAAGATTCTCAGAATGACGGGGTGTATGGAGACCAGATTCGCGAAGAACGCTTCGACGTTGACCCAGCCCTGGTCGGACAGCACCAGCAGAGCAACGACAATTTCATGCCAGCTGCTCAGTTCACGAGTCAGCCAATTAGGTTTGAAGCGGAACTGGCCCAACTCCCAGGAGTATCTGCAGAGCAGGAGGCGCCAGAGCAGGAGACGCAGGAGCACTTGGATGATCAAGCATTTTTTGACGAACTTGCTATGCTTCTTGAACCTCGGTCGTTTGGATAGGAAGCCGGCAGACAGTGGTAGCATTGACCCATTCATCCGCTGGAAATGCTACAACCCATTTGAAGAGTATGGATATTATGAAGACCGAGCAGTACGACTGCATTGATGATGATTGATGATGAGAGAAAGCATAGACGAAGAATATCAATAGAATACAGCTCTACGCAAACGTTTACCGAACATGCCATGTGAAAGATCAATCTTGTTTGTGGGAAAGCCTTTAAGCAAGCAAGCAAGGAATCTCAATCGTAAAAGCCCGAACAACAGAGGTGACGTGGGTGAACTGAGTAGAGTCGGCTCTAGTGGTGAGTTTGTAAAGAAGAGGCTCTACAGCCTGACTCAACACAGTCTGGCTTGGACTTGAACTATCAGGCAACGGCTCATTCAAATCTGATGTGATGTATAATGCCTTGTAACCTGTCTTGCTGTCCACTATAGTGATCGCCTTTCCCTATGAGAGCGCAGCTTCAAACCCGTTCTAAGATGAGCCTCAGGACGGGGAAGTCGTCTGGCAGAGCCGCGTTCTGTAGAGATGCATTGAGCCTGAAAAGATATCGTAGGCTGGCCTGCCCATTCCTGACGTTGGTCTACTCGAGAATTGGAGCAATTGGTTCCCACGTCGTGCTTGTGAGAGCGAAGTACCTTGTAAGCAGATGATGCAGCTTCGGATCAATACGCAGCCGTTGTTGCTATGGTCGGATCTGCAGTATCAACAGTGGGTTTTTGTGTTTTTCAAACCTGTAGCATATTAAATACATCGACCAGAAGACTTTCGCTCAGACCAATGCCGCAACCTCAATTGCAACATTTCAGCGGCTGAACACTCTGTCCCCTCGACAACAAAAGATTTCTTGTTTGGATTCCAGTAGCCCATACAAGTATTTGGAAGTCGTTTGCCTTGTTGGCTGACCTTCGTCTTCTTGAACTTTGCCAGACCTTGACCACCACACTCACAAGCTCGCAGACAACTCAATCAACTTCGTCTAGCTTTTCGATAGAGGTCAAACCCACAGAAGGAGTCATACTGAAATGTATGCAGTGTGCTGTATGCCTTGTCGTCCTGCTCATTCCCACTAACCAGCCGCTTTAGAATTCGAGTTTCCTGCTGAAAGTTTGTACGATGACGGGTAACACGCCGCCACCTTCTGGTGTAAACAATAACGACCTCGACAAGTCGGTTGCGAACAACATTGATCCGGAACTCGATGGGCTCCTCCATGTTCCACAACAAAAGAGAACCAGACGTACTGCCAATCACCCAGCAGGTGTGGAGCAAATGACGACAAGCCCAAACAAGATGGAGGAAGCCGCCCGCCGACCTTCAGCCATGATTAACAAAGATCCCAATAGAGCCGATGACCCTGTTCACTATCTCGGTCCAGGCATCACCTCGAAAGTCTCTCCTTTGAAGAGAAAGCACCAGGCAGTCGACCCCGCTGGACGTGGAGAAAGTTCGACATCCATGCCAAACAATAGGCCCGAAGCTGCAGTAAACAACTTTGTCGAGTTGTTACGATCGCTGAACTCCGCTATCGAGCTCAACTCGCAACAAGGACGCAGTACACACTTGATCTCCCCCAACATCCGGCCGCTTCAGCAAGCAACTCCACAGCCGCAGCAGCCACGTATTCAGGCCCAGCCTGCCAGCTCACCGCAACCGAAGGGTAGGTATCCTGAGAACAAGCTGTTCCCTTCAAGCGAGCAGGCGCTGCCACCCAATTTGACTTTGCAAGAGATATGTAGGGGCTACCCCAACCACCTCAGTCACGGCCCAATTTTGAGGCGCTTCCTCAATGTTGGGTGGACTGGCAGAATGATTTGGGACCATTTGCAAGAGAGTGCCAGAGTCAGCCGATCTGCCACGAGGGGTTGGAACAAGTACGAGCAGAGATTGAAGCGAGAGAAGCGCCAGATGGACGAAGAGGAGGAACAAGAAGGGTTCGATCCTACCGAACAAGGCGGCCAAGACAGCAGCATTCCTCAGGTATCAAGAGACGGTGCAGGTTCTGCTCTCGTACACACGAGCCCTAGTAACATACAACGGGAGACCAGAGCTCGACTAGCGACCTTCACCCCGGCGGTATTCTCACATGGAGGCAGTGGCGAAGATCAGGCTTCTCTTTCGGTGCAGAGTCGTCTTGCGACTGTTCAAAGCCAGATCAGAGCAGAGGTAAAATCGCATGGAAGCATTTTCTTAACATTGATGTCATATGAAGACCCTCAATGGCCCTCGCTTTCCAGACAAGAGAGAGTTCGTCGTGCTGAAGCAGAATGGCTACGTCGGGCAATGAGACTCGAGAGGGCCTTCGTGTTGGATAATGACATTGATGACGGGGATCTCGAGATTCCACGGACCTCAACTCTTGATATGATGAGACGATTGTATCTTCTAGTAAAGCGAGCATCTCAACCAATGTCCACTGCAGCAGCGACCACAGAGCCTGAGCAGACGGCCCTGTTCGACGAGAGTAGTCGATTGGCGACCTATCAACAGCAACTCGAAATACTTCAAGGTTGGACGGTCCAGTGGCAAGAGGAGATACAGGCGCGAGCCCAAGGTGCCACCGGAGCAGCTGACGCACAGATGTCAAGGTCTCGACTGCCACCCACAAATCGCTATCTTGATGACCAACCGGGACGTAGTAATTCTGGTTCAACGATTGCGGCTCGTCATGCACCAAGCCTGTATCCAGTGACCAGCGAGTTGAGCCAGCAAGGTCGAAGCCAACTGGGTTTCCCAGGCTTTGGCACGCCCCTTGGATATACCAACAGCGGGTATGGTACTTCTCCCAATCCACAGGGCTATTATCAACAACCATGGGAAAGCGGAAATGGTCAGTCGCATGCTGATCCGTATCTTGCTCGGCCGCCGCCTGGCCTGCTAGGCGCAGCAAATTTGGAAGCAAATGCTGGGTCAGCTGATCGAAGTGGTCTTCAGGAGCACCAAGGTACAAGTGCATATCCACCAATCGAAGAGCTGGTACCGTCAGTCCCCGAATCTACAAGCGAGTTTTCACATGAACACTCGGTTGGTCCAACAGCGATGTGGAACATGGATGACCTATTGAAGATGGACGAAGACCTCCATGAAACCTGACGTGATTGACGTGAATGTGGGAGGCTTTGTGGGTGTGGTGCCATGATCGTGAATGTGAACAAGTGTGTTGTGGAGCCAACGAGATCTGACTTTGTTGGTTGAAGCGCATGTCATCATTGTGGCTGAAGAGTATTGGTTACATGTCAATGACTATGTCTTTCGTTGAGAAGCATGGTTGTGCGTGTGATTGGTGCTCGATTGTTGTTCTGTTGAAAAGATGTTTGTGTTGAGTACCTGAGGCGTGCAAAGGCGGGTGCTCCATGACTAGCAGTGTTTGCCAAAGGCAGTACTCAATATATGTTTACAAGCAGTTGTGTGAGAGTCTCTGCTTATTTCTGTTGTGGTCATCTAACAACAAACGCTGATTCACCAGGTGATGCTTCTTTTGGAGAACAAACGAGGAGCAACGTGATGATGCTTCTGCCGGAACGAGGCAGAAGGTGACAGAAGGTCATGTTTCCGTGACATTCTTTACTCTGGCCGCTACCATCTTGCAGGTCGTTGACAATGGAGGATTGGGTGTTGTTTGTGCTTGCCCGTTGACGTTTCCATTGAATGATCGTTGTGGGTATGCTGCTCTGGACATAACATCTTCCCTTGTACCGAGCACGGTCTGGACATATTCGAAGGCGTCCAGGAGATGTGGACAGCATCCGTCAAACGGAGGGCACATATCAGGGACCCAATATGTCATGATAATGTGTATGCTCTGCCAGAATGTCCAATTGCTATACATATATATATAGGTGAAGGACTGGCAGCCACTCCACCATGATGCAATGCGAAGTCACGGATTCACACGCTGCAAGGTCATCACCCTCCGTACAATAAATTATGCTGGACTGAATAGCTTTGTTGGAGCGGTGATATATGAGCAATGAGGATGTGTGACATGGTGTTGTCCGGACTTGAATGGATGAGCTTGAAGAGCGGAAGATGCTGAAAGGAATGCTTGGCATATTGCTTAGTCATCCACGGAAAGTTCCGGCAACTGTGAACGGTGAAAGTGAAAATGAAGATGAAGATGAAGATGTTCATCTGGTAATTGAATGTGATTCTATCCATGCACAGATCACAAAGAGAAGGATCCACAATCTCTACTCCTAGAAATTCGTCGCTACTCGACATCTCGTGGCCCATGCCATCCGGTACTAACTTGGGCTGTTTAATAGTACAATGGTAACCGCTCCGCTTGTACGTGATCTACTGCTGTAATATCTTCCCCCAGAATGCCGTGAACATCACCTTTTGGCCTCACAGATAAAGCAGAGGGATGGAGAAACCCTGTCGTGATTGCATGGAGCATGGGCCTTTATCCTTTTCCATGACAGGCTGAATGAGAGTACTGCAAAAGCCAAAGAGCGAGACCCTACGGTGACATGGCATGAATTACCAGAGCAAGTATACCTTCGGGTTCTGGGTTGCACGCTGTTGGGTCAGCTCACCGATCCCAAGGAGCTGGCTTCCTCATAGGGTATCATACTTATTGAGCTATTTCTCCTGGACCGGATCTGAAGATTCAACCACAAAAATTCCAGGAGAACCAGCCATCTCGATTCCTCAAACAAGATGCCCATCATCTGCCCCACATGACGGACCAGACAAACCCTCCTCACTAACCTTATGATGATGCCAGCTCAGCAGTACTGATCCAAGGCCCCTCTGCCTCCAACCCCAATCGTAACCCGACATCCAATCCAGCATGTCCAGCACGCCGCATCAAATCTCCAGAAGGACACCGGAATATCTCGAGAAACTGGCTTCAACCGAACAAGAAAACGCCCCTGGATCCACTGGCTACTACCCCATCCGGTAAGGTGACCACACTTCAACAATCAAAGCAACCGGCTCTGACCATCAACAGGTCTCGCTCCAGAAGTCTAGGGTGATTGATGCCCTTATCTATCCACCGATCCGAGGATTGATGGATGGAATTTTGTAAACTCTCTTCGGGCCATGCGTTGCTGTGATGGAGGGAAGCCTGCTCTACGTGGGATAGCAGCCCATCAGCCCAAGTGGGCGAGAGCAAAGCGTCACTGAGAGGGTAATGAAAAGCTTGTGCCAGGGCTTGGAGGAGACTCTAGGTCGCGGTAAAGGCTACCTGGAACGGAATGGAGGTTCCAGCGAGCGAGGTCAAGCCCGTATATCGAGGACACATGGATGTCAGATGGATTATGGAAATGATGTGGATAGCAGTGTCTAAAGACTCGATAGCTGATGGCCTGTTGTTACACATTAAAGTCGACACCCTCGTTATCCACACCTGCTCGCGTGTACAGAGAGCATATCTAAATCGCACCAACGCTCTATACGTATTGTAGACAATTCAACCCAAGATCTGCCTGCCCTCCTTGGACCAAACTCCACTTTTCAATACCCTTCACGACTACCGGCCCCTCTCCTCTCTCCTCCTTACATCCTCCATTTCGTCCCTCATAACCTCGTTGAACTCCTCCCATCCATCTAGATAGACATGATGCCCCGCCTTCTTGATGATGATCACCTTACTATCTCCATTATCCCTCCGCCTCTCCTCCTCACTCGCGTCCTTCAATACCCGCCTCTTCTCTTGATCAATTTTCTCCTTTGCAGCATAACCCCCGGCCACGTCCATCCAGTCATTCTCGCCATACATCAGTACGATCGGGACGCCATTTTCGCGGCGCTTGATCTCGGCATTCGTAGAGGAGGATTGTGGTTCAGACGGCGATCCAGCGACGGGGTTGTTGTCATTAGCTTCGATGCCGGAGATATACTGGCGGCCTACGCCGTGGATGCGGCGGATGAGAGGACTTCGCGCGAATGCTCCCGGTGCGAGGATATATGCCAACGCATACTCGCCGGAGCCGCGTAGGCGGAATAGTGAATAAGAATAGTTGTGTAAGGCTTGAGCTTCGTCTGGTGGGAGGTGGGAGAATCGTCGAGATGTCCATCCGGATACGAGGCGTGGTCCGAGAGGACCGGACCATCTCACCAGGCTAAAAGGGGAGATGTTGGCGTCCCAGAGGTAGGTGAACCATTTCCCGAGGGGTTTGCGCGGCGGAGGAGCGGTGGTCGAGTCTGTTGATGCACTATCTTTATCTTTGGCGGCAGCTTTTTCCGCTTTGGTTCGAGCGTTCAAGAAGTTGTTGTTATCAGCTCTTGGAGCGGTTTTGGCTGATTCGGGTATGGATCCGTTGGTGGCCGTCGCGGTTTCGTCTTGGTCCTGAGTAATCTCGTTGGCGAGAGTGGATGATCCAGGCTCGGGCATGGCTGCATTGACCGCATATGGATCTTCGGGTATACCGACTGGAGAAGCCAGGATAAGCTTGTTGAGTCTGCCTGGATATTTCAAGGCGTAGGCAACAGCCATGTAGCCCCCCATGCTGTGGCCAAGTAAAGTGAAGCGATCAATCTTCTTCTGGATGCGCCACTCCTCCAACGAGTCAATGAACCAGTCTTCGGCTTCTGAGATCTGCTCTTCACGCTTCGTGGATTTGAGCTTGAACGGTGGCCTACTGCTGCGGCCCATGCCCAGGAGGTCGAGGGCGTACAGCTGCCACCCTCTAGCGCGCGACAAGCCTTCGAAGTTTTTGTAGAAAAATCCTAGGCCTGCGCCATAACCGTGAAGTATGACCAGATTCTGGTCGGCAGCCTCACCAACTCTTTCCACCGAGAACTCGTTCAAGGCGCGGTTCTTGCCCGACAACGGTACAAGGCGAGAATGCCATTTTCGAGGGCCATAAGGATCCTCTACCGAAGAGGTTCTCGCGACATGGGACGCTTGTTCTAGGTGCAGCCTCTCTAGGGATGCGGCAGAGGGCGAGGCTGAGGGTGGAGCAGAATTCGTGATTAGTTGGGTAGGGGGTTGCTGAAGGTACGGGATAAACGAAAGGACTTTGTGCTCTGCCTGAGCAGCTGGTATGCTGGCCCACCATTGACCCAAGGCTTCTTTATAGCCTAAGGGGAACAAGCCATCAAATCTTTTAGTACCAACATTGTTCATCGCCCTCCTTGACGCCAATGGACTCTGCTGTCCTCTCGATTTGATGTCAATGTCGCCATTGCTGTCTGCCGCGTGGCTCGCCATGCCGGCGGGAGTATCTGAGGTGCCTAGCTCTGCCGAGTATGTGATGGAAGACAATGGTCGATTGACGGGGAAAGCACTTGCACCTGGTGTTGCAAGAGACTTGGTGTGGACTTTTGGTCGTAGAAGGCTCCTCGCCCCGCCGAATATTGTGGACAGTATGACAAGATATGCTCGAGTGACAGAAGTGCCACTCAGATAATCACTCAGCAAGGGACAAGGAGGACAACAATTAAGGAAGATTCGGCTGAGGGGATGAAGGGTGTACCGTGTAGGGCGGCAACTCAAGGGGAGCAGGCTGATTTAAATTGCCTAACGCGTGCCTTGTATTGAACAGGCAACAAGAAGGAAGACAAGATGAAGGCTCTTAAAAGGTTTCAGCTAAAGCGCAGGTAAAGCTGCCTCGTCCACCGACGGAGGCGGTCCAAATGCATTCCGAGTGGGCGATTTGGGGCATGAGATTGGGAGGGGAAGGACTGGAGGGCGTAGGCGTCATCATGCAAGCCGCAGCCACGGGGGTAAGAGGGCGGAGTTAAGCATCACAATAACTAATTCTAACTAATTCTCAACGTAATTCTCTCACCACCAGCCACAAGCCACAAACAACCATCCTTACAGATGCGTACACCTTACCCCAGGAGGAGGAGGATGTCCTTTACAGTACGTACACCAACAGCAGCAATGTCATGGCTTTCGCAGTCGGGGAGCTTAATATAATCTAGACCATCCTGGCAATTGGCGCATCTTCGTCCTCCCCCGGGGGGGCTGTCTAAGCCACGCTTCCGCCCCCCCAAATCCCACCAACCTCAGCAAGCGCATCCACCCCCTTCATCATCAAAACCATGTCCGAGAGCCGGCTGGATCAAATCGTCAAAGGCGCACCACCGCCCTCGATAAAACTACCGCCCCTCGCCCCTCCCCTCGTCACCGCGTCCTCGTCCGCCACACCCGTGGACGGCAACACCCCCTCCCAACAGCTCTCCGACCCGCTCTCCTCCCTCCCCTCCTCCCCACCCCAAATCTACTTGAACCTCCTCATCCTCGAATCCTCCCTGCGAGCGCAATACCTGCAACTCCTCTCCCGGCGCCGGCTGCACACATTCTTCCTCCTCTTGCTGTCGTTATCTGCTCTACGTGGGATAGCAGCCCATCAGCCCAAGTGGGCGAGAGCAAAGCGTCACTGAGAGGGTAATGAAAAGCTTGTGCCAGGGCTTGGAGGAGACTCTAGGTCGCGGTAAAGGCTACCTGGAACGGAATGGAGGTTCCAGCGAGCGAGGTCAAGCCCGTATATCGAGGACACATGGATGTCAGATGGATTATGGAAATGATGTGGATAGCAGTGTCTAAAGACTCGATAGCTGATGGCCTGTTGTTACACATTAAAGTCGACACCCTCGTTATCCACACCTGCTCGCGTGTACAGAGAGCATATCTAAATCGCACCAACGCTCTATACGTATTGTAGACAATTCAACCCAAGATCTGCCTGCCCTCCTTGGACCAAACTCCACTTTTCAATACCCTTCACGACTACCGGCCCCTCTCCTCTCTCCTCCTTACATCCTCCATTTCGTCCCTCATAACCTCGTTGAACTCCTCCCATCCATCTAGATAGACATGATGCCCCGCCTTCTTGATGATGATCACCTTACTATCTCCATTATCCCTCCGCCTCTCCTCCTCACTCGCGTCCTTCAATACCCGCCTCTTCTCTTGATCAATTTTCTCCTTTGCAGCATAACCCCCGGCCACGTCCATCCAGTCATTCTCGCCATACATCAGTACGATCGGGACGCCATTTTCGCGGCGCTTGATCTCGGCATTCGTAGAGGAGGATTGTGGTTCAGACGGCGATCCAGCGACGGGGTTGTTGTCATTAGCTTCGATGCCGGAGATATACTGGCGGCCTACGCCGTGGATGCGGCGGATGAGAGGACTTCGC